GGGTGGCTATCGGGTGCTCTGGAGAGGATACCGCATACACCGGAACATTCGTGGGAACTCACAACTACCGATGTAAAAGACTAGTTTAACTCCGATACTGCTTCGCTTGATTAAGCGGTGATGAGGTCTGTTGCAGGTTCGGGACGCGCTACATTTCCTGCCCACCAAAGTCGAGAAGTTGGTGAACTCGTATGTGGCCCATCAGGATTCCTTTAAAGAAGCATCTAGAGGCGTAAGGCGACTCTGGTCTGAAAAGCTCGCTCTAAGCTCGAATACCACAGGACGAGGAAGCTGCCGAAGTGGTCTTGGATCCTGAGGGGCAAGAGGAGGCAGAGGCAGAGGAGGAGACGGTGGGGGAGATGGAGGGAAATGAATGGGAGGAGGCCGAAGGAGACGAGGAAGGGATCGGGGAGGAAACGCCGGAGGGGACGGATGTGAGGCTTGCTTCGGACAAGCTACCATTCCAGTAGGCCTTGAATACTCCGTAGTGAACACTGTGCAGTGTTCTGGCTTGTGAGTAGGTTTGAGGGGACTCGACCGCCAGCCTCACGAGCTGCCACAATTGAGCCCATGGCCAGTGAAGAGGCGGTTAGAGCCCGAGCTGAGGTATTTCGCTTTCCTCTTGGGACTGATCCCCTCTGAGCGTGGCAGTTTCAGGTGAGGAGCAGCTCGTATGAGAAATCGAAAACCTTGGGAGAAGAGTCTGACACTTTTCATCCGGCACAGGTGAGAGCCTGCCTCGACGGAGGTGTGCAGGAGAGTTTTCGTCATCATCAGGTGGTCTGGCTGGTCCTTCGCGGAGTATATGCACGCCTAGCAAGGCAAGTAGGAGAATCGCATGTAGGGGGCACAAGCGGACGGAAGAAGAAATCGAAGGTAAGCCGGCAGAGAACTAACTCAGAGCATCTCCGTATGCAGGGTGCTATATCTGGCAAGAAGAGCGCCCCGACCAATCGCCCTAGTGGATCCTCTACTACGCCCACTGCCCCTAAGGGTGGACGAAAGACGTACGAGGAGCTCATAGTTGGGCAAGTGCAGAATGTTGATGTGGTATGCAGACGTATGAGCCCACGAGAGAAGTCGAGACGAGTTGGGAAGGCATCAGTTACCACGAGTCCCAGGCCTACAGGTGAGCATGTCGGTGGAATTCTCTCTACATTCCACCCCCGCTGTCAAGGGGCCACTGTGATGTTGTTTTCGATTCTTGCGAGTCAAAAACCATCTTCAGTGGAGGAGTGTATATCTCACGTGCTTCTCGTGGAAAAACGGTCGTGTATCCGAAGAACACCTCAGGTACAGGACGCCGAGTAACCCAGAAAAGAGCGCGGCCTTCGAGAGCCGGGAAGCAGGCTGCCCTACACAGGCATTCGACCGACAAGATAGTCGCTGAGGAGTTCACCGAGGAGGATGAGAATGAGAGCGCGCAGGAGGATGAAACCGCTGATGCACAGGAGGGTATAGAACGTATCCAGAGTAGAGGAGGAGACTCTGGGATAACTGGGACCGATATTGAGGATGATCATCCTCCTGAGGCCGGTAGGTTAATCCTTGAATAACTATCGGTGGCAATCTATCATCTGCGATGTCTTTTTATGGATCTGATGTATAGGAGGGGCATACTATAGAATCAACGACTCCGACAAGTGTGTCTAGGTGTGCTCCGCTTCAAGCGCTCTCAGATAGCCACTTTTACCTTCAAGCCTCATGAAAGTCTCAGATACACAGGATCGTAGGTCCAAGGAGAATGCTGAGCTTGGGTCTGCATGGGTCGATGAGAAGGAGGGGGATGAGGAAGCAGCTGGTAGCGGGGCAGGGAACTCTCGAACTCGAAGGACAACGGGTCGAAAGCCTGCGAGAAGATCACCAGCGAATGGTCCGGAGTCTTGGTTCTTCGCAATGTCAGCCTAAACACCCTTCTCAGTTGTCAATGCGAGGGTTCTCTCACGGAGTTCATCTCCTTCTGGAGAAGGCGTTTCTGGCGACAACTACGGACCTCCTAGTTCACCGAGTTTGCGGTTTGGTTCACATGGTG